GGGGGGCGCTTTAAAGCCTGCTTACCCGTTGTCCAAAGCAGGCACTCGGTTTACCCAGTCCCAGGTTGGAGACAATTGGCGCTCGCTGGTTGTCATCCAAGGCAGAAAGCCGCCGAACCCCGGGTTGGACTCGTTGAATTGCAGATATGTCTGAAGCTTTGTCTTCATGATGGATGCTGCAAGCTTGCGAGCCTTGGAGGGATCATCAGGAGTAAGGAAGCGAGCTGCTTTTTTAGAGCCAGCTACGGCGTGTGCATAGAGCATAATCTGGAGAGCCTAGGTGCATCAAATCAAGCTGTTAGACAAGTCTCTCTCTGTCATACTTTAGGGAAAACACCTGGGTATAGAGAGCTCCAAGTACCTCTTTACTGGCAGCACTGAAGGGATGCTTGTTCGAACGAGCTCCCGTCGTCCAGTTGAGCTGTGTTCCATCATACGTCATGCCATTGGCCGAGTTGTACGAAACATCATTTTGATGGAACTTGCCCTCCCAAAACAGGAGATCCTGTTCAAAGCCTGTCGGGTCCTTGAGCACATCCTCCTGGGACCAGTCAGCCACAAATCGACACCGGGGATACGGATTCGAAGCTTGGTCGGCACGAGGTGACTGAAGCGAGGGCAAGGCGGATGCCACTGTCAGGCCACCGGCCACCAGGAATTGAGCCACGAGTAGTGATTTCATATTCTTGCCAATGGCACAAATCGAAGGCTTGTAGAAAAAAAAGTAGCAATTGAAGTGTTCTGCCAGCCTGTCTGGTTGCGACTTTGTGTCCGTCTCCGTCAAGGCAGCTTCATTTATACTTGTGTCAACAACACCAGCAGGCGACGATGTTTGATTGCAACTGCAAACCAGCCTCAACTTGGTCGGAAAACGCACTAGCCAAGTTGACCCTAAAGCATCTCGGCCCCTGGCAAGCGAGCCCAATCAACACCAGTGACGGCCGCCGAGCCGTCGCCAGTGGTGACGGGCCGGCACAATTGACTCGAGTCCAACTTGACCCGAGTTGCACGTTAGCTCAATGTCGTGCACACAGTTGGCTGACCCCAGATTCCGCCCCCGCTCCAGCTGAAAGTCAGATGCGGAGTTTTCTTGCTCAATAAAAGTGTGGATCGTCCATCATCCTATCCTCCACGTGGCGAGCGACGCTCAAGACTGCGTTTGACCGACATAAAACCCCGAAAGTCCCTTGCTTCCTCGCCCGTTTTCCCCGTCCCAGGGCATTGCTCCTCCGGTCCCATCATGTAAAGGGTGAGCATCATGTCAACATGAGCAGCTCGTTGCAGGGCTCGCCTCCACGCCCTCTGTCGCCAATCCTGGACAAACCACGCCGCCAAGCGATCACTCGAGCCTGCGACCGTTGTCGCCGAAGAAAAGCAAAGGTGCGGCTTTATTGTTTATTTCTCCGTCGGAGCTTTCC